AGCTGGGGGGGACTTTTTACAAGGGCCTGTAGTGACAGGACAAGGGGTAACGGGTTTAAATTGAAAGTGGGGAGGTTTAGATATCAGGAAGAAATGTGGATGTGGACCACGACAGAGCGAGGTATCCAGTGCCTGAGGGAATTAGCTGTGCTAGAGATGGTTTATTAGGACCTAGGGTATGTACAGTTACCCACAGATCCAGACGAAGTTTAGCGCACAACCCATGTGGTGGAAAGCTGTACGTAGCACACCACTGGAAGTAACGACCTGGAGACAAAGAGGCACTGACAGTGGATGAACTGGCTGGCCAGCCGCAGGAATACAATCAACATCTCTCTTCCTCCTTACGGGCCTGCATCTTGGCTGCGACAAAAATGACAGACACCCTAGCTGAGAAACTGCCCCAGGAGTTCCAGTGGTTCAAAGAGATGTCCCACCCACCACCAGTACAAACCAGGATCTCAGCAATTAGGAATAAGCATTCCACTGCTCAAGGAAAAGAATATAGAAGGTCGACACCCTGGGGTACCTTGTGGTTTTACATGCATGACCACAGAGGGACATGAGGAAGTGGGGTAGAAAACTGACCTTGACCCTAGAGGCACAGATATGTGAACTGCAGGAAAAACAATCCTAAGTGGGGATTCTTCCAGGAAGATTGCTGCTCCAGTCTCCAATTGGCAGCTCCCCAGACATTATAGAAGGGCTGATCTTACGGGAAGGAACTCCAATCTGTTTTTACAAGAAGTGAGTGCAGACTGCTAAGACCAGGACTAAAAGGGCCCTGACTCCAGCCAGGTGGAGGACAGAGGAAACTCTGTTTAGTGAGCTGTGTGGATTTGATGGCCTGGCACATCACAGCCACAGGATATAAGGCTCCAGTGGACACGTGTGCACAGTGTAACCTAATGCCATTGAACTATAAAGGGACACAACCCATTTGCATTTCTGGGGTGACTGGGGGATCCCAACAGCTGGCTGTGTTGGAAGCCAAAGTGAATCTAACTGGGAACATCATGGCAAAAGCATCTGGCCCAGTGTGACTGGCCCAGAGGCTCCATGCATCCTTGGCACAGACAACCCCAGGAGGGGGTATTTCAAGGATCCAAAAGGGCACCGGTGGCCTTTTGGTATAGCTGCCTTGGAGAAGGAGGAAATTAAGCAGCTGTCTGCCTGTCCGAGTCCCTTGGAGGACCCTTGTGTTGTGGTATTGCTGAGGGCCAAAGCACAACAGCTGCCAATCACTACCACAGCGGTGCACCAGCTACAATATCGCACCAACCGAGACTCCCTGATTCCCATCCAGAAGCTGATTCGTCAGCTGGAGAGACAAGGGGTGATCAGCAAAACCTGCTCACCCTTTAACAGCCCCATCTGGCCAGTGCGTAAGTCTGATGGAGAATGGAGACTGACAGTGGACTGCCGTGGCCTGAATGAAGTCACACCACTGAGTGCTGCCGTGCCGGACATGCTGGAACTCCAATATGAGCTGGAGTCAAAGGCAGCCAAGTGGTACGCCACCATTGACATTGCTAATGCCTTTTTCTCCATTCCTCTGGCAGCAGAGTGCAGGCCACAGTCTTCTTTCATCTGGAAGGGCATCCAATACACTTGGAATCGACTGCCCCAGGGGTGGAGTAACTTGAAAAGCAGCAATAATCTCATATATAGTCCCAAGAAGGTTCATGGTTTGCTTTGTGATTTTTCTTTAGTGTTTCATGCCCCTGCATAGTGATATAGCAGAACACCTTCTCCCTCTGTTGAACTTTTCAGCTAAATATCCTTCAATATTTCAAATTTCTGGCTTTGTTTACCAGAGAAATAATTAAGACAAATATGTTTTTATTATTTTCCAACCATTTCCTTACAAATTGGAATGTTTTTCTGGAGGAAGTCTTTCCTGCTGTTCCTTAATAGCTGTTTACTCCCAGTCATACCATTTCAAGGAGATGAATGTAATTCCCTGCTCTTGATCTGTCACAAGTGCCTGTTTCTCATGGTGTTTTGTGTTGATCAAAGACTGAGTCTTTGAAGGCGAACTCCTTATTTCATGGATATTCCAATGCAAATTTGTACGGGTATTCTTTAACTTGGGCGTAGGAGGTGGTGTTATTTGACAAAAGACTAATTTAGAGCTAACTGTATACACGGTTGACTTTCTGCAAACCTGACTCTCTCCTAAAGAGCTGTATTACACTTCTGTCCTGCTGTAACAACAGTCACCTTGCCAGGTCAAGACATTTCATGACTGCAGCAGAAACAGTTTTAAGCACCTAGTACTGCTGCTAAGAGGTATGTTAGCAAGGCAACTTCCCAAGCAGGGGAGAGACTGTACTCTGCTGAAATGGCTCTCTGTCCTGCATCATAGGCACAAACACATATAAACCACATATATATTTGATTATCTTAATTATGTTAAAGCATGTAGTTTTGGAGAAGGGAAGAGAGGGGAAGGTAGTCTTTTTCCCCTAGGTCCAGTCATAAGGGTATTTGAGGTTGGTCGGAGAAAGTTGTGATATAAATGCTTCCGAGAGAATAAGAGAGAACATGGGACCAACAGGTACATCCCTGGATATGTTCCCTCCTGCCACCAGCAGGCATTCGAATGTGCCCTGGTTTAGAAAACAACTCTGTTGAGCATACTGTAAGTGAAAATCCCAAATTATGTTAACGAACAGTTGGAGCAAGTCCAGAGGA